AGCAGATTATATATATATACAAATATTTCTGTCTGTTCATATGAGACTAAGCCTCTAACAACAATACTCAGCTTTATATATATATATATATATATATATATATATATATTATATATATATATAGAGAAAATATCTTTAGAATATATATAAATATATATGTAGAATATACAGTATATATATATATGTATGTGTATTTATTTGTTTATTTTTCAATATACAGCAGATATATATGTTTAAATGAACGCCTGCCTTTCTCTCTTTTTATCTTACTCATATTCTCTCTGTCTCTGTCTCTGTCTCTCTGTCTCTCTGTCTCTGTCTCTGTCTCTCTGTCTCTCTGTCTCTGTCTCTGTTTATGTCTCTCTGTCTGTCTCTCTCTCTCTGGTTCTTTCTATCTCTTTGTCTGTCTCTCTGTCTCTCTCTCTCTCTGTCTTTGTTTGTCTCTTCTTCGCTCTTTGTCTCTGTCTGTCTCTTTCTATCTCTTTGTCTGTCTCTCTGTCTCTCTCTGTCTCCGTTTGTCTCTTTTTCGTTCTTTGTCTCTGTCTGTCTCTTTCTTTCTCTTTGTTTGTCTTTGTCTCTCTTTGTCTTTGTCTGTCTCCCTGTCTTTGTCTGTCTCTCTTTGTCTCTTTCTGTCTTTGTCTCTGTCTGTCTCTCTTTGTCTCTTTCTGTCTTTGTCTCTGTCTGTCTTTGTCTGTCTCTCTTTGTCTCTTTCTGTCTTTGTCTTTGTCTCTCTTTGTCTCTCTTTGTCTCTTTCTGTCTTTGTCTTTGTCTCTGTCTGTCTCTCTTTGTCTCTTTCTGTCTTTGTCGGTCTCTCTTTGTCTCTTTCTGTCTTTGCCTTTGTCTCTGTCTGTCTTTGTCTGTCTCTTTATATTTCTCTGTTTATTGCGTCATATGCAATAATCAGTGCACATAGATAAAGCTGTCTATGTATCTACACACAAATAAATATATATATATATATATATTTGTATATATATATATATATGTATATATATATATATATCTATATACATATATATATATATATTTATATATATATAGATTTGCATGCATAAATAGATATGCTTAGGAATATGTATGCAGATAAATAAACAAATATAGAAATAAAAGTATATATATATACAAATTATATATATATATTGTATATATATATACAAATAATATATATATATATATACAGAGAGAGAAAGAGAGAGAGAGGTGAAGTCTTTCGTTATTACTTCTTTACGTTTTAAAGCATAATACAGAGACAGACATTTAGAATGAATATGCATATAAATAAATAAATAAATATATATATATATATTTATTTATTTATATTTATCTTTATATAAAGATAAAAAGCATATATATATCTATGCTCTTTTTATTTATATTGCATATCTCTTCTTGAGGAGACAGCGCGAGGGTTTCGCTACAAATATATAAAATAAATATATAAATATGAACATATATATAAACAAATAAATATATATTATAATAAAAATATTAAATGTATATATATATATATTTATTTATATTTATTTATTTATATTATTTTTATCTCTTCAAGACAACGCGAGGTCTTTGTTTATTTTTTTTTGTATTTCTTTCTTCTTCGTTTAACAGCATTAAACAGCAACGGCAACCACTAATCTTTTTTATTTAATGCATTTGATTTAAACTAAACAAACTTTAATAAAAGGTCCCTAGCAATCACACTAGCAGCAGCAACAGCAGCAGCAGCAGCAGCAGCAGCAGCGGCTGCTGCTGCTGCAGCATCACACAGAAAGAAATCCAACAAACAACGCTTAACAACAGCATATCTGTTGTTTATATCTTGAATACTGCTGCTGTTGTTGCTGTTGCTGCTGCTGCTGCTGCTGCCGTGGCTGTGGGTGCGGC